TAACTCGCTTCACATTCTAATTATAAATAACTTGTTGAAAAAATAAAACAAGATAAAAAATAAATGTACATTTCGCACTTGCGTAAATTTGAAATATAATTGAAGTTTAGTACATCAGGGAGCAGAAAAAACATTTAATAATGAACGTTTTGGAACGGGAAAATGCAATTTCTACCAATAAATTGCTATCAGAATTATTATATTTTATTACGTTCAATTATATTCTCATTGTTTTCCCAAAACCTCGGATTCACTGAAGTTTTTACCAAGGCAACTATTTCACTTTTGAAGTAATTATATAGGTAAAACCTACTTTTAATTTAATTTTTTTTTAAATATATGTATAACAGTTTCTTTCTTTAAATATACAAGATATTTCAAGAAGGAAACGTTTTCTAAAGATGTTTATTTTAAAAGTAAGGAATATGAAATCCATTTAGGGACTTCTTAGAAAAGAACTCCGTAAAATTATAAAAGACTGTACTAAGAATCCTTAAAAAATGTAAATAAATAAGCATTCGTCACAAATCTTTACATTTTTGTTTTAAAGATATCTAAAAGATTCATTATTCGTTTTATTTTTTATCGTTATATAATTAATTTCTTATAAAAGTCATTGAATCATGGCCTGAAATCAGTTAAGAGTTCTAATATTAGGTGTTCGTAAAGTTAAAATACATATAAGAAATTGTATCATTTTGACCACTCTTATAACTGTTGTGTTATTATTATGTTATCTATTAGTTATATTTTCTCGATATTGTTAAAATAATAATATGATGTCTAGTGTAATGTAGGTAGATCACTTAATAATATCAGTTGCTGTCATTCAGTTTTGCTACTTAGTACAATACGTACATGACAAAGTTAATATAGTTTTATTTAGAATTCAATAACAAAATCTTGTTTTAAATACATAATAATATGTGAGTTTCTACTTATGGAATATAATTAAAAATAAATAAGTTGGTGAGTATATAAGTATATAACTTAATAAGATAATAATTATTGAATAGCTGATATAGAAAAGATGCATTTAATTGTAATTTGTTTTAGTTACTGTTGGTCAATCTTTAAAAAAACCGTGGTTTTTGAAGTATTTCCCTGAAACAAAGTTAGACAAACAAAATAACTAAACTTTGCAATCAATTGTTATCAATTAACACTTCCGGCGCCATTAATAAATAGTGCTTATTTTTATTTATATTTTTACAAATTATGTCGATTAATCAATGCTATAATAATTTTGTTTTATTATGTATAATGTAAGGATTTAGCTACTAGAATCTTATTTTACTGATCTGGCTAGGTTATCTGCTGCTTATCAACTTCCGGTGTAATACATTAATCTTTAATATTTAATGTTACATAATCCTGTATTATTAAATAATATTTGTCCGTAAATAATCATTAGAATAATTAAGATAAAAAATAATGAGATCTAAGATTTTCGCGAGTACTCATTTAAATGAAACTAATATTTTTCGGATTTTACTTCGCGTTTTATTTTTGATTACAATGACCAGACCAACTGACAGACACTCACATCTCGTCTGCCCGTGATCACGGTTGCTGAAAAGTAGCCGAAACGTCGGGAGTATGTAGTTCTAATCAAAAATAAAACGCGAAGTAAAATCCGAAAAATATTAGCTTCATTTAGGATAAACAATGTTTAATATTATCTTTTAAGTTTGCAAATTTAATATTAAATTAGGTCAAGATGATTTTGTATAAATACCGCCATTTTTTAATATATCGGGCATTGGTATTGTAAGTGTTTTCCTATATAACGTATCGTTATACAATATTCGAATGTTATTGTTCTTTGTTCCATTTGCTTTAGTTCCAGAAAATAAAAACAAAAGTCATTACATAGTCAAGATCTATTCATGTCGAACGATTTGTAATAAACGTTTTATTGTGTCAAAAATTTTATTTAATTAATTAGCTATCACTCACCTCAAAAAGTAAATTTATCAATAGTGTCTTTATCCATTGTAAATAGATTGGTGATTGCTCGTGTTCCGTTTTGCGTCAAATGTGGTTTGGAATGTCATAATTAAACAAATTAAATATAATTACTTGCACTTCTCATGAAAAGAAGCAAATTTAATAATAAGAACAGTTAAAAAGTAGTATCGGAACAAAGTTAATACTATTCAAAGAAACATAAATTAATTAGAGTCAACTAATATATCGTGTTTAATAGAATGGCCTCGTGGCAAATTTTCAGCGCCATAGCTTTGAAGGTATGACACTAACAGGCTCTGCCGTGTATGATATATTGTGTTCTTTTATGATTCATCATTTCAGCCGAAAGACGTCCACTGCAGGACATAGGCCACCCGCAAGGATCTCCACGACGACCGGTCTTGTGCCACCCGCATCCAGTGGATTCCCGCGACCTTCACCAGATCGTCAGTCCACCTTGTTGGGGGCCTATCCACCCTTTTTTTTTTTTTTTTTTTTTTTTTATCGTGGGGAAATGCTTCATGCATACTCTCCTGCTTGGGGAAGAAAGCAAGGAGAGTTATGTCGGACTCTCGTCCTAAAAAGGACGCACTACCGACTAAAACCCCACGGGTGTCCCACGCGCCGCTCTTTTGCTAAGCCACAGGGCCCGCAGAGCGATTCTGCTGCGGCTTAGCAACGGCTGCCCCGAAAGGGACATTTCCAAATCATCTAGATCCTTCGTGTTGTCAGTGGTGGAAACTGAGCATTCGCGGGGCCTTAGACCGTGAGGTGGCAGACATCCCCAGGTCCGCCACCCGGAAGCCCCTTAAGGCGGGAGATGGCGCTCATGCGCTATCCGCCTTCGTCCCGGACGGCGTCGTCTTATCGGGTCAGAGGAAGGTGCCTTTTCCCGTTCTCTTTCATCGGCTTCTTTCAGTGAGATGACTTTCTCACAGAAAGAAGCCATCGCCTGCCACGCTACAGTATGACGAACCATCTTTTGCAAAATGGTTGGCAGCGATAGGTCTGTACCAACGACATTGCAAAGCTCTCTCCGCTGATCTTCGCACGCTGAACATTCCGCAAGAGTGTGTTGCGCTGTATCGTCTTCACAGACGCAATGGTGACATCTTTTAGATGGTTCCCTACCAATTGCAAACAGATAATGGCCAAAACATCCATGGCCAGTCATTACCTGCACCATTCGAAACGTCAAATTTCGGTTTCGCAAACAAACCCATTCGTCTAAGATTGGTCTTATGGCTTCAACCACTCTGTGTCCAGCTGTGGGATTCATCAGTCTTTGCTTCCAGGTGTGCATCAAGATGATATGACCCTGGCGTCGCCACCGTTCCACCTGCTCTTTTACTGGGATATGACCGCGTCTCCTAATGTCAGCAACCCTGTGATAAATTTCCGCCAGAACTCGCGCCTCGAGGTCCCACGGAACAGAGCCAGCTAGTGCGCACGCAGACTCACAAGCTACTGTCCGGTAGCCCCGGATCGCTCTGATAGCCACGGCTCGCTGCGGAAAAATGTGGAACGCTTCACGATTTTGCGTGTCATCCTTGCGCAGGGGCCATGCTAATCTTCTCTGTATCGTTCCAATTTTAGTATATGTACTGCCGAAGCGAGTACGGGGCCTATCCACCCTGCGTTTCCACTTCGTTCTTTCTGTTCTTTACCCGTTCTAACACTACAAATATATATACCAATGTTTAATATATACCTGAACTTAAATTTATTTCTCTTATAATTATTGTGCTACTTATTGTTAAAATATTTTGTTCAAAAGTTGTCCCCTAACATTTTTAAAAGAGTCAATGATACTAATACAATAGAAATACACACATATACCTACATATATTTAATCAATGTACGATATTTCTCAGAAATCATTATTAGCTGTCAGTATATTTTTGTAACATGATATAAGGGGCTAAAAATAGTATAATCTAGAGTTACATTTTAGGTGTTATAGGAAAATCATATAATATTTTTCCTTTCTTATGTCAATAACAACAATTTTTAGTTTTGGTTTTTATTACATTATATTTTGCTGATACAACAAAATATATTTAGTACATAGTAGGTTTAGATTAATTTATTCATTTATTAAGTAACGATATTACAAAAAAATATTATCTATTTTTAGCTTGTTACGTACTCGCTCCATATAAAGAAAAAAATGAACATCGCCGGGCCGACATCTTTGTACCGGTAAAATATCGTATAACGAGTGACGCCCCTGACTCCGCGGAGCCAACACCAAACCGTGTGAACCAGAAGATTCCATATACCAAACAAGCAATAGAATGCGATTGTCGTCCTAACATTGGGGCAATCATGTAGTATTAGGTATGGGTTATAAGTTTCAACATTTAATTCTTATTTTAATCTTTATATATATAATTCTTCTGTGAGTGTGTAAGTCACTGAACTTCTCTCAAACGACTGGACCGATTTTGAAGAAATTTTTTGTGTGTGTTCAAGGGGATCTGGGAATGGTTTAGATTCACGATTTTGTCCGCTGGGCTATGTTTTTTTAGTTATTTTTTAATTTATTTGTAGTTGTTGATGCAAACGTTTTTTTGACATTACATTTTACAACTAATATGTCAATCATTCTGTCGCACTTCAAAACACGGAGATTATGGCTTTAATAGGTAAACTCTAAAAATATAAATAAAAAAACGTAACAGATATTTCTTGATTATATTTAGGCACTTAATTTTTGACAAAATTTCCGTATAAATAAGTAAAGTGTTGACACGTTCCAAGTGTTCAAGTGTGGACGCGTGCTGATACAACACTACGTCACGACACGCGTGTGTGTGAGTGTCAGTGTATACCTAATCTGTAGGGTGTTCACACGATGCGTAATTAATTACACAACTTTTGGTTAACTTTACTTAGAAGTTTATTAATATTTATGTTATATTAATTTTTATTTTGTCATATATGATCGTCGAATATCACGTCCTCAAATATCGATAGTAATTCACCAGTCACCCTGTATATATATAAATTTTAACATATAATAGTTGATGTATGTGTTTATTCCAGATTCTTGTTCTGAATGTAACCTGCCGGCCCAGAGCATCTTGCAGGTGGATAACATTTATACAGCTACAGTCCATGTAGACGGCATGTCATTTTGGGCTATAACAGATAATCAATATTTCTAATACATATGTTTGTATGTACCAGGACATGACGTGTATGGCGGAGGTGTTCCTGATAGACACGGGTGAGACTCGCCGGGTCCAAGCTTCAACACTCCAGCCTCTACTGCCACAGTTTGCTAACACTCCACCGTATGCTCGGTGCTGCCATCTAGCGGGGGTATGCTATTATAATTCCTCTATATAATACTAATTACAAATCGCTAATTGTGCATTACACCATGGCTATAGCTACACATAAGGCATATAAGTTTTCCATATAAAGCGGATCTTTAATATATTTGAATCCAAAATTAAAAATTCCATTCATTATAGTATGCAATTTTTAAGTAACATGATAACAAATGTATACAATAAATTTTGAATAGACGTAAAAATATTATTATTTTATGCTAGCTATTGCCTGCGACGTTACCTTTCTACTAAAGTTAGTTAGCTAACGATTAACATCCCTTAAAAGAGCGTATCTTCATAATTATGACTTTTCATTCAATATCTACGAAGACTTCTTCATTAATTCCTAACTTGGTAATAATGAAACTAGCTCAAGATAATGCCGTGTCGATAAAAAAATCATTCTTTGAACATCGTCCTTTATTTGGTTTAAGAAGAATTTTATCCTTTTTGAAGTTGTTGAGAAAGTTTCTCAAGTTATTATCTATGACTAAATCGGTGTAGCCATTAGATCATATGTATTATCAATTAAGAGGAACAAACAGACAAACATTTTAAAAATTATATTTCTGATTTGAGAGTTCTGTATACAAAAGTTATGTATTTGATATTTAAAACACACACTTTTTTTTTATAAGCATATATATTTTTAAATATCTTGCAACAATAAAGAAATATTTATTTATTTTTGTTTTCAGCCGGTTTCAGATGAACTCGATAACTATGAATATGTAATAGAGGGAATTCTGAAGAAGTACATCGGGAAGACATGCAAGATTAAGGTTGATGACAAGTTAGTATATAGAAGAAATATATTCCTACATTATATACAAGGTATATGTTTTAATTTAATATATAATATGTTTGCAGTACAATGGAATCATTGGGAGTATATGTCATTAAGTCCGATACATCATCAGACCATGAAATTCTTAACGACCTCATACTCAAAGAGAGTCAGGCTTTAATAGGTAATAATACAATTAATTATTATTAATACAAACAAAATTTTAATCTGTGATTTCATAAACTGATTTTCATGACTAAAAGTTGAGATTTTTTAATGCTTTACATTTATAGGTCAACATTATTCATTCTTTTTAATATAGATGTATTAACTTAGTATGACTTTTATATATTTTTTATATATTCTTAGAAACAATATCAGAATTGACTTTTTTAAGAAATAATATTCGATACAATTATTTAGCTATTATTATTTTTTTAAATGCTCAAACAATTGTAAATTAATATTTTTCAACAATCTCAATTTGAATTTATTGTTAAATGAAATATGAATATAATATAAACAAAGACAAACACTTCAGAAATCTACGATCGATTAATCTATCGCACCAACGTTCGTTACAAACTAAAAAAGTGTCCTGATCTGCTCTGACAACTCTATAATATGTCCTTTACAACTCTCCTACCCTACCCTACCTATTTATATATATGAACATTGTTTCTTATTATGTCTTTCTAGATGTTAAAACCTCTTAAGGTCGTGTGTCTAAGGTCGATGAGCTTGATGAATCAAACTTCGATGTAACAAACTGTCCTGAATACGAGGATCCTCTTGAAACTGTTACGGTATGATAATATTATTGTTTATATAAGAAAAATGACAATAATTGAAATACATAAATATATAAGTATAATGCGTTTGATTTAAGCTGAGCTTTGCATTTGTGTGAGTGCACACGGATAGTGTAGGTGTGATGTCAAATTTTTGAATACCACGTTCTTTTCTAGTTTTTCTGCTTTTACTCCGCCCCGCACTTTCCTCATTTCACTTTTATACCGGTAGCAAAATGAAATAATGACAACGCAATGTCAATTGAATAAGAATTTGAATAGTTTTTATAAATTTCTATTAATCAATAATTTTAGTTTTCATAATATTCATAATATTTCCATCTGGCCCTTTTACAAGTTTTGTGTATTTTATATCACTTATGTTATGTATCTATAAATTTTATTATATAAAATATATTATATTTTATATAATAAAATTTAATTCTAAACGTTTTATGTATAACTCTACTTTTACTTTCACTTACACAAATGCAAAGCTCAGCTTAAGTCTAACGGACTATAACTCACCTATAAAGATGATTCTATTCATACACATTCCAGTATAACATAAAATTAATTTACAACTAATAATTAAATTTCAAGTTCACTTAATGTTTTATTATTATTTAATAATTGATTTAAAGTACCAGTAAAATTTATAGTAACTTTAGAATTTGGATATTGAAGGCTTAATTAAGAGAATAAAACATCCTGAACAGTCCTTCTTAACCAGTTCTTATACTCTCATAGAAGGAGAAATATCTATTGGAGATGAGTTTTTTTTGATGATTGGAAGATTCAGAAAATCTTTCATTTCATCCCTCTTTGTTTTCTGTTTCCTAGTGCCAATAGTTCATAAAGAGAACACAATATAAAATGGTTTATTTATTGTATTAGGTGAAAACAACTTCAATATATCAGTAAATTGATTGTCACCAAAAACATATTAAAAATAACTCATTCATTCATTCACTCAATCATTCGCTAGCACAATAACAGTTGTTGTAATGTAAAATAATATAAATTTCAGGGTTATCACAACCGTGTTGAAATAGACATCTGCAAGCACTACAAGGGAGGAGCTGACAAGACCTGCTTCAAGGGTTCTAGGTGAACGAAGAGACATGTACTCAAACATCCAGGTATATAAGAAATACACCTGTTGAATATTACATTTTCTAACAAAATAGGTGTTTTTATGTAGCTTCACTTTTTCATTTTCACTATTTTTTAGGGCATTTGGGGTTAAACGAAAGACGATGGATAGTTTAAAATGGATTATTTAGGGTCCATCCATCAATTTGTCACGCAAATTTGAAGATTTTTAACCTCCTTGTCGCAAGTTTTCATATTGCTAGAACCCCCCTCCCTTGCTGTGACGTCACACATTTTTTAATTTTGTGCCGACGCTTGCGAGATCAATCAAACCATTTCAGAGTCAAACTGTTGATAATTTTAGTGTAAATTATTAACGGGTCTTTTTAAGTAAGCTGTTGCATTAGAAACAATGTTAAAGGAAATGTTATACTAAACTATTTATAGATATAGATCAAGTTAGTATATATTTTGAAAATTTTTATCCACTACTAGAAGACCTGGCGAACTTCGTATCGCCCTATAATCAAGAAATATCTATTACGTTTTTTTATTTATATTTTTGGAGTTTACCTGTAAGCCATAAATCTCCGTGTTTTGAAGTGCGATAGAATGATTGACATATTAGTTACTTGTCAAATCGAATGTCAAAAAAATACTTTTGTATGGGAAATAGAAAAGGGCTGTTTTTATGGTTTTCCCAGTAATGAACCAATTTTTTCAGCTTTTACACCTTTCCTGAACCTCCACGAACATTTCAAGACTAAGATAAGATAAATCCGTTCAGCTGTTCTCGAGTTTTAGCGAGACTAAGGAACAGCAATCCATTTTTATATATATAGAAGAAAAATTTCGCGATAGTGTTTTAAATTTTGAGATGTGACATCACAAAGTTTTTGACATCCCTCCCCCTCACTATCTCCTCAATTAGTAATAAAACGTCACATTAGAAACTCTTAAAGGTGTGACGTCATTTTGGAGGGCCCTAAATGAAGCTGTAAACAAAATATATGAGCTCCTATTATCATCATTTTTCACAGATGGCTGGACATTAGATCAGGTGCCAGTGGTGGCCAAGTGCAGACCACTGCCGCTCCCCGCCCCTGACACTTGGCTGACGGTCAAGGTCACGCACGTCGCGCACTTTGAATTCTTCTACGTACACATTGTGGATTAGAAACGTTAGTACCTACGTATTAGATTAAAACCACGTTAGAGAGAGGAGCTTGGAAAGTTGAGGGGAGCGTTCAATACGCGTTAGATAGGGACTTCTTAAACCTAAACCTGGTTCGCTAGTCACAGGCTCTGTTGAAACTCCTCTCCCTGCAACGCCATTGATTCAGCACTCACACGGTGAATATATTGAATGCTAAAAACTTTCATCTCATCCAATAAAGTTTTTATTTAACATCTACAATCTTTGTATATGTTAATAATAAATCTCCATGCTGTGATGGTATCAAAGAAAATATGGCTAACAAGTAATTGCTATAGTAAATTAAAACAGTATATATAAATATAACAGCCTTAATAATATTTCCATCATATATATTCCAGAGGTCACGTGTCCAGGTCCTCCCAGTTTCGGCGTGGTGCTGCCTCCCAGGAATCTGAACGAACTCGTCACTCACATGAACAGTAACGCCGCTCGTATGGCCTACAGAAAACTAAAGGTCATTTACATGGCATATACTAGATAAAATCAAATGTCTATCAATTGTTGCTCTTCGGCTTATAATGAACTGTAAAAATGATGGAAGTTATACTTCAATGATACGCACTCACTGAACTCTTAATTCTACCGTCGTGCGTCTAGACGTCATATTTATACCAAGATTTAAACATAGTTCTATTCTCCTTTTAAACAATCATTGATTTCGTTTTACTTTTAACAATAATCATAAATACTAATGAGTATTTAATAAGAATTGATGACGGCCTCAAATTATTCTCATGTCGCATCCGTTATTAAAGCTCATATAGCTTATGTAATATTTTGCACTTGTAACCGTTCTTTTATGACTATGGATATATAGTTTTAATGATATTTTAATCATACTATACAAATTGTTCACACCTTCACATAGATTTGACTTGATTATAATTGTAGAAATTCATAACAAAATATTAAACCCATAACTTCCTAACAAATTATGAAATTAAAGAATCCTTTAAATACCTATTAACCATACAATCATCATATAATCTATCTATACCTATAAAAATGAATTGCTGTTCGTTAGTCTCGCTAAAACTCGAGAATGGCTTAACGGATCTATCTTATCTTAGTCTTGAAATGTTTGTGGAGTTTCAGGGAAGGTTTTAAAGCTGAAATTTTTTTATTAATTTCTGGAAAAACCCTAAAAACAGCCCTTTTCTATTTCCGATACAAACGTTTTTTTGACATTAGATTTGACAACTAACTAATATGTCAATCATTCTGTCACACTTCAGAATACGGAGTTTTATGGCTTAATGGTAAATTAAAAAATATATATATTTATTGATTGAGGCAGTACGAGGTCTGCCGGGTCAGCTAGTATACATAAAAGTATGTTTCGTAGTTATTCTGGAACCTTCGGTTGCCATCCTACGTAATTAGCTAGATTATTATTAAAATATGGCTTCCGATTGTTTTCTATGTATTTTATTTATCACGGTGGGACTGATTAATGAAAAATTAAGTTAATATACGTCTAGAATTATATTTAAAGTAAATTAATTTATAAATATGTATGTGCTTAAGATTTGCATGATATAACTCCTCCATTCTCGTTTTACTTTTTTCTTTTACTGTAGATCTCTGCACAAACAAATGGAGCGATACCACTTCTCGTTTCTCATTGACACAGCAATGGATTGGAGCTGTTTGCCTGCATATATTCTTACTTCCATTTATAATTTGGATATCATCAAGAGAAGACCAAGTTAGTTTTAACTGAGATAATGCGTCTACCAAAGCTAAATGTCTACTTACTATCATTTCAGATGATGTTTAAGAACTATTTAATTCTGTTTAAAAGAAAATTATTATTAAAACACATTTATATATAAAAAAATACATATATAACATTAACATTCAGTTTCGTAATTCTTTGGAAACAATCTTTGTTTCAATCCTGTGAAATTATTCGTAGAAACGTTTCAGCAATTAATTTTGTTTAATGCTATAATCAATATCATGGCACACGGCAATGTGCCAAGTACCACGGTACACGTAGTATCACTATATTAAAATTATTATTCGGAGGACTAAAATGAAAATGGCCTTTTTTCACACAACATACCAAAAAATCCAATTTTGAAAATATGTCACGCATACAATGTTTACAAAGTTAAAATATTACTCGGAACTGACAAAAGGAATTTCTCGTAATATTTATAAAATTAATTGTATATTTCTTTTCACTTCGTGAACAAAGTTGTGGACTATATACATATATGTATTAAATTTTTGGTAAAATAAGAGTTGCTCGTCGGTTGTATGTTTCAAAATCATCGGCGTCTCGTGTACCTTAGGCCCCAATCGCGCATATTTGCCATTGCTAAGTTGATATTAAAAAGCATCGTAGCAATAACGAAGCATCTGTCCAGCAAAATATTAATAACCATTGCCTGCTATAACTTAAAATCTATCATGAATCTATTTGATCTGATACTTGTCAAAGCCATTAAAAATACGTTAATTAGGTTATTTCAATGAAACCCTCTTTATTGTACTAGTTTACAGAAAAATATCGTTAAAAGCTAAATATATTTCCTTAAATCCTAAGTCGTGCAGGTGTCCAAGAAGCCAAACAGTTTGTCAACTTGTTAGATCCAGATCGTCCTTAGCACCTGACGCCCCTACATTCACAATACAAATAACATTGTTCACACAACTAGTTGGCGAGGAAGGTATTAAAAGGGATTATTCCAAGGACCAGATGTTTTTTTTATCAGTGAACAAATAATATAACAATTAGTTTAATACTCTGTATTAAGAATGCAATTTACTTTACTTACGGACTTTTAATTTTAGAGAAAGATACCAAAAATTAAAAAAAATGACTGTTTCTTAAAGTCTGAAATGAAGTAATACTCAACACTAACCAGACTGTGCTTTTAGATGTAAAATCTTTTAGATTGCGGCTTATTTATTTACTGTTCCGCTCTATTGTACAAAGTTGTATTTCTATGTTTATATATATTTGTGCATTAGTTCCTTTAGCAAAAATTATAAATTGGACTTTTTGAATTTCAGGTAATTCCCAAACAATAACTGTGTTTTACGACCACCTGATTTTTAATATAACTTGTATTTTAAGCAAACATCATTCATTTGCTTGTAAAATAAAAATAAAAATTGGTTTATTTTAACATTCTTTTGTCAAATAGAATCTTATCAAATTGTGGCCGTAAAAATATTTTTTCATAATAATTAAACAAAAATATAATATTGACATAACCATTTTAATAGCCTAATTTTATGAACACATTGATCAATGAATTGTTCAAAACGAAATATGTATGCCTGTGAAAAAGGATACTATAAATGTTTTTGTTTTAATAGGTAAAATATACTTTCATGCCTGTATATTTATATATACCTATTTAAGTAGGAATGGTTACCCTCCCTTATTAATCATTTAATAGATTACAAACTGTGAAACCTTATATTTTTGACATACTTTCTTATAACATAATGAAAATGTAGTGTCACATTCATTTCAAATGTAAATAATTAAAGGACATAATTAAATGAAGTTAAGTTAAAATGAAATCCATCCAGAATGTAGTCAGCTTTAAGAGGATTGTGACAACAAAATGAAAATAGCTTCATCTTGAATAACATTTTAGAACCAGCTCTCATGTCAACGTACCATTCCGGAGGCTAGTGTCTTCTTGCAATAACTTTAGTAGCATTTGCTTTCAACACACTATATAAATATAAATCAAAAAATTTCTGTAGCTTATGTTCATTAAATTTTATTTTATTACATAGTTGAAATATAAATACATTTTATACTTTTTTTACTTAATAAAAAAAAGAAAAATAGGTAGTACTGATTCGTAACAGATTAAGTTTTGAATAAAATATACTTATAACTGAAATTATATTATAAATGCAAGGTACTTATTATATACCTACATATTACCTACATACAAAGTCACTTTTATAACTTTCCCTATTATAAAGCTTTTCACTATAATTTTGGCTTAGTACATTTGAAGTAACTAGCAGATTTCTGTCAGTTGACTGTATATTGTTCAGACAGACTGCATACCGGCAATATCATTAAAGAACAAATTATAATCCTAATCTACGCTCGGAATGATATCTTTAACATGACCGTCATCTTTCTTAAGAACTGTTAGTATGTTATAAAATAAAAGAACAAAAACGTGTCACAGTGCATTATTTTAACGTTCCCACGCTTGCCAATGGCATGACCAAATACTGAAAGGAAATCTTATACGAAGGCTAAAGATTTGGCTCAGGATAAATAAAGATGACACAAAGAACGATTTCGGGGTTTTAAAAAATTACTTAGGACATGTAAACTGTAAGTAACGTAGTGATCATTCATAAATAGATAGGATAATGAAACGAAAACAAACACTCAAGTGCTCGAAGGTAAATCAAAGAAAAATTGTGTTGACATTTGAGAAAGTCGGAACAATTGAGAAATATGTTAGTTAAGAACAATCGTACCCTGATTTCCTAGAGCTAAAGAGTCATTGCTATTTAGCCTTGAACTTAATAAATTACATTATGATTTTTTGTTCTAGAGAGTAAAACTTGCTCTAAACATCATACTTACTTAAAGTCACTAAAACAAACTATACGGTTGATAATAAAGAATTTTCCAAAACATCAAGTGCTTTCTGATATTAGTAACTAACCTTAACGCTTTAAAGGTTTGTGTTGCAGCCCGTAAGGACTAATTTGAATAAAAAAAATGTTTTTTTTTAGTAAAATTGTAGTTACTTATTGCAAGACTAAGCATATATATAGTGGTATGCTTGGGTCCCCCAAACGTTTTGTTTTCACGTAGGAGACAAACATTTTACGGTAAGTGACCTTGTGAACTTGAATGGAAAAGAGGTAGACGGAACGTTCGTGTGAATAAACAGGCCCACTAAACGGGAAGATATTTCGTTTTATCCACTGGGTGCATCTATCCTTACAACCTA